ATTTGCTTTATGCAGTTGTTGTGGATTTATTAAATATAACCTGGGTGGCAACAAATTGTTTAAATGTAATAAATGTGAAATAGTGATAGATAGGAATATTAATGATGCTCGGGGAATTTTTCTCCAGGCTTTGCTTGATAGGCTGTTTGTGTATAGTGAATTCACTATATGCATACACTAATTGATTGTTTTATATATAGTAATATATATTAATGATCGATTCAATCCATCCGTAAAGAAAATTTATTAAAATTTATATATCTATTATAAAAGCTATATGCGTCAAATCTATTATCTTCACTACTAAATAAACAATCTTCTAGAGGGAAATCTAAATTTGGTCAAAAATTTTTCTATTGGTCCACTTGACCAATAAATAATAAAATTAGTATAAATTTCAGATATAATATGATGATATAAATAATCTCAACTTTTTTTATGGATACGTAAAATATAAAGTATATCACCTCAAATATTTATTTATATTCATTAGTTACAGCAATTTCACGGCTAAGATTGTTACCATATAAGTATATAAAATTTTATATATGTAACAAGTGATGACAACAAGGATTTTTATTCATCGAAACGTTCAAGTTCAACTTCAGTTAATCATAAAAAATTGAGATCAAAACCATGTAATATTGAGCATGATTCACGGAGAGAAAGAAAATTATTTAATAATCATAATAGCGCATCACACAGAAGAGGTAGTGAAAAAGATCGCGAAGGTCACAGAATTGATCGTGGTCCATCAAAAAGACATTGTTTACGTTCTTCTCCTCCTCCTCCTCCTGCATCGAAAACAAACTGATTTACATAGAGGTTTATCCACTAAAGTGAGACAAACCGATCGTGAACGAGATCGTGGGGATCATCGTGAAAAAAAGCATTCAAATAATGATTCAATAAGTAAAAACAAGGGATCCTCCGTAGGCATTCATTGCTCAAAGACTACACCACCAAACCAAACACACCAAAGTAACAGAGGCGCGAGAAAGAGGAATAAAATTCAACACCTCTTGCTAATTTAAATAGAAGTAGCAGTAGCAGGCATAAACCAATTGACTTAATTTCCCATGCTGATATAGAATCAACCACTTTCTCCTTGGATGTTCCATTGGGTGATAGGTTACCCTTAGCTATTAGGCCAATTAAATTCTTGGAAACCTACCAAACTTAATGTTATTAATGATGAGGACGACAATATAACTCCTTTAGGTCAAATTAGCTCCAGTAAAACCAATTCATTTTGTGCGACATCAACTTCTTTGCATACTCGTCTGTTATCTGCTGATAAACCATTATCGGAAAAGGTTGAATATGGTATGGATGATAAATATGAGTCAGTGTTGGATGAAGTACTTGGCATAGCTGACTATTGAAATTCTGAAAAAGGAAGTAGCTATAAAGGTTCCGAAGATAATTACCCTATTGGTAAACGTTCTTACAATGAAAAGAAAAGTGAGATGGCTAGTGATGAAGAAGTACCCATTGGTCAATTAAGTAGTCGATAAAGGAATGAATAAAGAAAGTTATTTATTAATTTATTTGGATTTCTTAATAATTATTAGCATTGATTGTATATTTGAAAGAAACATTTCTTTGTATTTCAGTAATTGCCTTTTTAATTAAAAATTTACGTCTGTTTTTCAAATATTTATTGTACATTTCTAGTTTTTGATTTATTAGAATTTGCAAAAAAAAAAGGAAATCTTTTACTTATTTCATTCATTTCTATTTTTTTTTTAAAAAAAAAATATTTTTTTTTCTTCTATTTAAATTTTAATTCTTACAGAAATTAACTAAATTATTCAAAAAAATTTCCTCAAATGATATCAAAAATTCTTTTCTCAAAAATATTAGTAGTTTTTGTGACGTAATAAATACTGGTAACCAGAATTGTTGGACATATCTGACATCATACGTATATATTCAAATCCAATACTACCCATACTTATACCGTATATAACTTCAGATATCTGAAATTTCAGATAAAATTTAGATTACAGACATTGAAATTATGGCATTATCTGAAAATTTTTAACTAAAAAAAATGAAGCAGTAAATTATATTTGAAATCATTTATAGTACAGAAGATTTATATATTATCGAAAGAGTTATTTATTGGAAAATACGTTTCAAAGAAATATGAGTGGTGAGCAAAGTTATTTTATTAGGACTGACTATAAAAATAAATAAATTTTTCTTTAATTTCGCAGTTAAAAAATTGATTAATAATTGAAGAGTAGTTCATATTTTAATGAAGTCTATCCTTTATAGTAATAATAATTAAGAAGAGTAGTTATATTCTAAAGAAGTCTATTTGTCGATAGTAACATATTCCCTAATGCTAAAACAAGTGGCATCAAAAGCTAAGCCCCAACTTCTAAACATAAATGAAGTAGGTAATTGTGATTCAAAGCGCTTAGGGACTTCAACCTTTACTTTTAACGAAGCTTTCCCATTAACACTGAATTCTTTATTATCTTCCCATAAATTTTTAACAAATTTTCCAATACCAATAGTAACTAAGTCAATGCCTTTTACTTCACTCATCATGCTTCCTTTTGTCAAAACTATTTCAACCTCGTCATTATTTTTAAATTGATTACCATCTTTAGTAGAAATGTGAAATCCTGAAAACAGGAAAGATGGAAAAGATTTTATTAAAAAGATTTTTTTTTTTAAAAAAAAATAAAAAAGCTAAGAAATCTTACCAGTACAAACTACAATTGGAGGCCCTGCATAAATAAGAAAATTGGGTCAAAAAGATCAATTTTAAAAAGAAAATAAAATGATTAAAAAATATCAATTTAAAATGAAAGATACCTTTTTCAATAGCTAAAGCGTTTACTTCATTGAACGATGTGAATAAAGAGAACAATAAAAGAATTGAAATAAATGAATTGAATTTAATGATAGCATTCATTTTGTAATTTGTTTTTTTTTAACAGGTAGAAAGTTTTTATATTTATTAAAGTTGTTTTTTATTGCTTTTTATTTTTATTTTTTTTGTTGGAAGTTTAAAGGTGGAAAGTTCTTATATTTATAAAGTTTTCTTTTCTAATGAATAGAGCAAACAAACATAAAGTAAAACTATTAAAATTATTATATAAACCATTTGCGAGTATAAAATCATCTTAGTATATGCCATTTTTGCTATTTTGTAATAAATATGAAATAAGAATTTTTTTGGAAGATTTTATTTTCTTTTGCATATTGTTTTAATTCTAAATATTTGTAATATGATCAGAATTCTCTTAATGTAAATTCTTTAAGATTCGATCTCTTAATGTAAATTCTTTAAGAAACGAACTCATAATGTAAATTCTTTAAGAAATGATCTTGGTATAATTCAAATAATTTGTAATACAACCGATATTATTATGATTCATAAGACAACAATCAATTTAATTATGTAGTTAAAAAATAGTTTATGTAATATGTAATTATCAATAATTTTTTTAATTGAGATTGTCTATTAATTTATAGCATATATATTATATATTTAATTTTTCAATAATATTTTATGTACTGATAAATAAAATAAAGATTGTTTTTGTTATGAAAACACAGTGTTATTTTATTTAAAATGAATAAATAGGATTAATTTTTTATGCTTATTAGGCCATACAAAATAATAAAATTGGTTTTCATATCCTGGCCAGGTCAGCGAAGTGGGATTCTGAAATTTTTTTTCTTAATTGACCAATAAAAAAGCTTCAAAATTTCACGTGTTAAGACTTAAATATAGGAAAATAGAACCCATTATACAGTCTGAAGTGTATAACATTACGTGTACAATTTTGATTACGTAGAATTATAAATTCCTTCATTACACTTCGAACTAATAATTAAATTCTGAATTATGCTTAAACTTATTTATAGAAAATCCAAAAATTTGTTATAACAGAAGTTTCTTTATATAACAGCATTTAATTCTTAGATCTAAAAATTTGTTAAGACAGAAGTTTCTTTATATAACAGCATTTAATACTCAGATACCATAATAAAATGAGAAGTTTATAAGTTAAGTTTTTGTACATTTTTCTTTGCACTTACTACCTTATTTTCATTTTAAACGTTTTTTTGAAGTTAAAGTATTATTATTAATATAGTCACTACAATATAAATATTTACCTTTTGCTGGTTTAGCAACGTTCAAACTTCTGCATTCAATACAAACATCTGAATAGATCCTAGCTGAGTAATATAGTTTCTCGACTTGTAATATACAAGTTCACAAATCATTAATAAATACTTTTAAAAAAGTTTACAAATAGGATCTTCTATATCATAAGATTCTTTTTCCGTATTATCATCAGACTTATCATTATCATCTAAGTTTTCAAGTTCACTTTCATTTTGTTTATTTTCATCATAATCATCTTTCTCATCTATATTTTCTTGATCAGCTTCATCATTTTCCATATCATATATATCTGACCGTTTTAGTGATGCAACTATTGCAAGATCACGTGTTATGAAATACCATACTGCAAGTATAAAAATTGTTTTCAAAAATCCTTGTAAAATTATCTGGTCCTTTTCAGAAAGTCTCTTTACACAGAATAAAAGATGCAGCTTCTCACACTCAACATAATTTACAATGATATTAATATTTTTCGCACGTGTAGTAGAGAGGCAAAATGTTATAGTATACTTTGTCTTTATAGTTTTCATTTTATCTTTCCTTGTTTTTGTTTTAGCATTCTTAAGCGAAAGTCTATGATCTTTCATTGTTTGCTTATCATATAACTCTTCAAATAACTTATAATGCAAGTCTTTTCCAGGTATTAGATCTGAAAGTTGGTACAATTATTCAAAATCTTCTGATAAGCATTAAGGAAGATGACAAATAATACAATCTACAGTCACACCTCGATATAACGAAGTTGCCGATCCAGCCAATCAGGACTTCGTTATAAGAATCTTCATTAACGCTATAATGAATTATGCGGAATGTATAACGAATAATTCGTTATAGCGTTAACGAATTATTCGTTATAGTAGA